CGCAGACCACACGCAACATGAATGATAAAAAATGCCTTCTGCATATATGGATTAATAGCAGGCTAATTGGACTGCATGTGTTGATCATTTCTACCCTGCAGAGGTTTTTTACAAAGCCTGAGCTGACAGTAATGTGCTGTGTTCGGGGATAATTACACAGTGGCCAGTTGTTTCCCATGTGCAGTAACTTCAAGATTAACAGCATGGGAGTGGAATAGCCTTGAACAACAGCACACATGCAGCAGCTATGCAGGGCGAGATAACAAGTTAAGACATTATTTGTTAAATGAGAAAACATCAATTTGTTTTATTGGTTTCGGCCAAGAGTTAGTATGCAAAACTTTTTAAAGAAACAAAGTTTACTTGAGAGAGTTCAGCTTTGACAGCAACACGCGCACAAAATCACACGAAACACACGCACACAACAGGGCTTAGAGTTTGGAGAATGACTCTGTCTGCATTCCAACATGAAACAGATCGGAGTGGAGGCCAAGGAGAGTCTGTGGTGTGGAGCCCACGCCTCGGCTGCCTGTTGACTCATGAAGCAGACCCTGGCTGTGCCGTTTGCACCAATTTGCTGTGAACCTCCCTGAGACAAATAACTGCCACAGAGCTGTAACACACTCTGCCTCCAGTCGCCTGGCAGCTTGCCAGCACACCCTCTTCTGCTGCTGCTGCTGCTGCTGCTGCTGGGGTGGGCTGTCCTGATTTCTTCTCCATCTGCTGTTTGTCTTGTATTCTTTGTTACTGCTTTGCTACCTCAGTCACTCCATCATCCATCTTTCCTTTTATTGTTATGTAATTGAATTCATATTGGTGTGCATTAGTCTCTAAATCATTTTCAATAAACTACTTTTTGTCAACCCCTTTCCAACTCCCCTGTAAAGCACTTTGAACTACAACTGAACTTTTGATTCTTTTTTTTGTGCTTACTTTACAGAATATTTCTTATTTGGGACTCTTCCATATATCTGAGCAGGAAAGGGAGGTTAGAAAAGGCCACGTGCTCCTGCCAAATGACAAAAACACACAGCAAGAGTGGGACTGAAACGTCCACTCTCATGATGAGCAAATGAAAGCAAACACCATGACAAATAAATAATTACTGTGCCACCAGGAAGCTGTTTCACTCAGAGGGCTTGTTCCATTTCAGTGGGTAGCAGTAGAGCAACAAGGAGTTAAGCAGTTATGAAAGAAATATGAGATGGAGCAAACTTGATGTGTCAAAAGGAGGCGTCGTGCTGAAGCAGAAAACATAAAGACCCTGAATCTTTGAGAGCAAACAGATGTACTACAAGGGGTTTTCTGAAAGAGAGACAAGCGAGCCATCCTATCAGTGGGAGGTTCAGGCGAGTGCATGCCGGCCAACTGTCTCCACGCTCTGCAGATGACCCTCCTGCATGGCCCCAAAAGTCTGTCAGGTTGAACCCAGTTTCCTTCAACACATCAGAAGCCTCCACCTTCCCCCACCAATCAAGAGAGTCGGCCAAGCCAGCTGGCTGCACGTGTTGAAAAGGATTTCAACAGGAACATCGAGATCAATGCGATTCTGATATAAACTTGGCAGAATAGAGTTATGTGCAATGGACCAAATTCAAGTAAACATCCCTTTGCTTCTGTTGTTAGTAGCTGTAAAAAGTAAACTATGCCTCTGGAGTGTGTGTATGTGTGTGTGTGTCAACATAAGACTGACAGCCAGCCCGATGCGGTCAGCACTGTGCAGGCAGCCAGGCCGCTAGACAGCCGGCCCTGAGGTTATCGCCTGCTGAAGTGGAGCAGTGTGCCGTCCATTACCTCACTTTACTATCTCTGCATCCAGGGGAAAGGACACAAGCTATTCATAGAGACACTCAGGGCCACAAAGAACGCTGGGTATAAAAAAAATCAGTGACAGAGCACCGAATATACATTAAGGAGTTCTGCTACATAATGAAGAAAATGTCTGTGATTTAAAAAAAAAAAAATGTTTTCATGTTTTTCACTTTAGTGGAATCACGACTTGCATTTAATTCTTCACAGGTCATGGGAGAGTTTGGGATACTTTTTTTGTAACAATGTAGGTCAAATTTCAATGTGGCTGGCCTTACCCTGAGTTCTTTATCAGCCTTATGGACAAAGGAAGCTCTTTATTTGACGTCCACATCCCTAACACACACAAAAAAAGCAATAACCTAATAGGAAAAGAATCCCGTCTTAGGCTTGTTTGAATACACAAGTCAAACAGGATTCACGGTTAATGCATTAGCGCAGGCTTTGGGTTAAGAGGCTGTGATAGAGAGATTGCGGGCAGTACTGTACATGTGGTTAATGATAAGCCAAACAAACTGGGTTAGCTCTCCTAGTCTGACAAAACAGGACTTGTTGAAACTTGGATTACATGAACAATTGCTGGTGAGTAAGACCCAGGCTCTTAGAATAACATAGAAAATAAATTGTGTTTTTAGCTTTTAGAGTAAAAAGGTTAGAAGGGGGCGAGCGAGGCAAAGTAAACACAATTAAAACCAAGACTTCCTTCTTTGGAGTTTCATTGGAAATAAAGAGGCTGGTAGTTTCTTCAACTTACACTGAGACTGAGTAAAGCATCCCCTCTTCAAGTGTTGAACTTTGAAAAGTTAAAATATGAGCCCCTTTTATGACAACACGGAACCAAAAGGCTCTCAAACTTTCTTTTATGCTCCTGTGAGTATAAGGTATATATGGTTTGTGGGGTTTTCACCAAGGAGTTCAAGTAAATCTTTGGCGAGAAATTTCAGTCTGCCTCTGACTTTTTTCTTTTTCTACGGCATTTCTTCTCCGTCAGGGTTCCTTCCAGGTTGCTCCGACAACATAATTATATGGAGTTAAGTATGAGCTGCAGAGAGGGGAGCGAGAGACACCAACAGAGCAGAGAAGGAGAGAGACTGCTGGAGCACAGTGGCTTGTCATTATGGGTCTGTTTGAACCTTGTACAGAATAAGCAGCCTAAATTGAGACTGAGCCAACGGTTCTCTGCACTCTGCTCCTCAAAAGTCCCGCCAAGTGTTTTGTTTTTCTACTTGAGAAACCCACCTCAGAAATAAACACTGCATATCATCGACTACTATGGAAAATATTTTTAGCGTTCTGACCTTTGGAAACATTTGAGTTTCTTTGTATTTTTCTTAGAATAATATTTCATGTGATTTATTTTCCCTCTAGGTAGTTTGAGTAATTACGTATGATTTGGGCTGCATTTTTATTTCCATGTTGACAAGCTTGGCTAACTTCAGATGAAACAGGATTTATGAGGTCAGGACTAATGTTGATTGTATGAGATTTGGCAGTTCAATACAAAGCTTTTGCTGACCCTTCTCTACTTTTGGTTTCCCATCTATCAGCCTACAAAAGTCTAATTTTGCGCATGCACATTTAGAGGATTTTTCCAAAAACACCTGTTGTCAACCAAATTGTCGCTTGCCCTGTCTTACTGTTGAAAGTCACATTCCCATCATTTTTAACTAATTTATCAATTCAATTCAAAAAACTTTATTTGTCCTCAGGGGGCAATTCAACTGGATTTATTTATTATTATATTATTTATTAATTTAACTGGATGAATGATATTAGTCAGCTAGATGAAGTTAACAGCAATTAGGCTTTATGGGTCCTGAACCTCAGACAAGTGACAGAGTGACCATAGCTTAATGAAATAATGTTTAATTATTTAATTTTGTCTTTTTTCCAGATTTATTCAAATAGCCTGTTTGTTTTGATGATGAAGAGACTTCTTCAGATTATTCAGCAACTGAAAAAAAAACCCTCTTATCTAATGGCAGCGCATATTGAAGACCCCCTTATTTTGAGACTCCTATGGTAAATGTTACATCCTGACAATATGTTTCTTCTGCATTGCTGTGTGTACAGTACTAAAGGGTAGATTTCTGATTGGAAAAAGAGTCTTAACTAATAATTCAATCTTTAGGTTTTCAAGTGCAGTCCTACACAAAACAAAACAAACTGTGCCTAATAAATAAACAAATATTGGAAGCAGGAACACTTTAATTCACCTTTGTACTCCACTACTATCCAAAATCACCTACACTCCTAAAAAGCACCTAATACCTAAAAACACAAGCCTTACAAGGCCGGGAGCCAATGCCCAACTCCACAACCCCCCACACTCCAAACTGACTCACTTGCACACATTCAAACACACACAATTCTCTCTTTCCCCATCTTGATTAGATTACATTGAGCCGCTTGGTGACAGCCTCTGGGCATGCGAGAAGAGCGGTTGATATCTGAGCTCTCGTCCTCAGCCTTCACTCTCAGCCGGTCAAGAGAGCAAGAAGATAATAGCCTAATTCTAAAGAGCTGACCTCACTAACTACAGCAGCCTTTAAAGAATCATGGGAACAAATTTGTCAACGCAGGTCACTACTAACTGTAGGACTGAGACTACTTCTGCTCCCTATATTGCGTAAGTACTGCCAGCGGAACAAACACGTTGCTAATGTCTCCAAAACGGCTTGCTGACCCTCAAGATGATTAAATCCACTCAACTTCAAAGTAGACTGCTGTTGCATAAGTGTAACATCCGGTGAAAGGAATTCTGTGAGAGTACAATGAAACGTACAAGAAAGCTCTTCATTAAAAGATGACTAAACTCAGATGCAATGATTGCATTCCTTTCGAAATAAAACCTCATATCTATCTCTCTGACAAAAAGCAGAAACAGGACCACAACAGAAAAGGCTTTGTTCCCATTGTGCCTCCTGACCACCTACCAAGGGCCCTTTAGAGGAGCACTCACCCTGGAATGATCAGACCACTTCTCCCCCAAAGGCTCTGCAGGCCTACAGAGAGCGCTGGGCCAAACACATCCTGCCCATCTCCTAAGAGATTATCCAACTCAATGAACACATTCAGCAACAAACACTGAAGGAAACTGGAGCTGCTATTCAGCTGCATCTTAACCCAAACTCTTCCATTCACACCCACACTGGAAGCGAAGAAGAAATAGGAAGACATGTTGCACTTACTGGCTACTTCCAGCGAGGCGTTGTGACTCACTGCCTCTCCCAGGTAGTTTCGGGCAACACAAACGTAGGAACCTTCATCCGGTTTGCTCCGTCGTCCATGGACAATGCGTAGAAAGAAGAGCGAGCCGCTGGGAAGCAGCATGCGCTGAGATCGGGGATTGTCCCTGTCCGTTTCCACCCGCTCTCCATCCTTGTACCACTCCACTGTAGGGGTCGGCCGCCCCTCTGCTTTACAGTTAAGGGTAGCTGGTTCCCCTTTGGAGACAATCAGGTCAGAGGGGTGCTCCACAATCCGGGGTGGGGTGTCTTCTTGGCGCAGACGGGATCCTGTAAAGAAAATGTAAAAGTTGAAGCTTACATCTGCAAGAGTTTTTACACCAATTTATATTGACTTTAGATTATGTATTTACAGGTATTTTTGGATTTCTCTTAATGGATACCCATTATACCATACCATTACCCATTATGATATTGTTTCGACAACTATATCTCACTCTGAATGTGTAATAAACCTACGGTATGAGGCATCTTTGAGGGGTCACCATACAGGGTTAGAATTCCAATACTTTTGAGTAACACCTACAGTGTTTTTCCTGCCTTAATTATTGACTGTAAGGTGAACATGTCAACCCATTATGCAGTTTGGTGCATTTGACCATCTCCAGGGTCACAGAAGTCAACTTCTTAGGCTGAGTAACACACTATATAGACCTATGAATATTAATGTTCCAAATACATCTTGACTCCTACACAAATTATACAGAAATGTGTATTTAACAGCAACATACCATCAATTTAAAACAGCACCACTGTTTTGAAGGAACACTGACAGGCACTTTTCATGAAAGCCAGCTCCATTAAATTGCCAATCTAAGAGCAAAGTCACCCTTTTACAGTATCAGTTTGTTTACTAAAGCTTGTCACAGTTCAGCAATGCGACTCTACCAATTATCGGATCAAAGAGCAGGAAAAAAAAGAAAAGAGGTCAACAGTAAACAAGAATAAGACACACCTTGGAGGTAGAGGGAAATGAAGAGATAAAAGATAAGATAAAGACACACTGCAGAGCTAAGCAACAAAGAAGGGGCAGGAGCAAAGATTACACTTTTGAAGGGAAGACAGAACAGCTAAAAGCAGTGCCAACAGCGGTGCAAATGGGGTTAACACTCCAGTGCTATCTCAGGCCATTACAATTGCTCTCTCCGACCAGTCAGCTGTGGCTATCATCCTGCTTTACATGCAAATTAGCTTCCTGTTGTTAATTCCTGAAGGGTGGGACTTGATGGTTGTGAACACATTGTGCTACTACACACAATTGTGTATGGGTGTGAGTGTCTATGTGAGGGAGAGGTTTTTTTTTTCCCCCTACTCCCCGTATCTCCCAGCATAAGGCCTTTGGAGCCCATTCAGCACCAATTAAACAGAGTCTGGTCTAATTGGAGGCACAGGCCCGCAATTAATTTACCCAGCATCCCGTGAACTTGCCACACTGCCTCGTTTCTGTGCCCTCTGCCCTTCCCCCACCCAAGAAACCCTACAAATCTGGTGCTGCTGAGGAGGCATCTTCTTGTGTTCGCCATATCTTTTAGGTAAAGTCAGCATAATCAGTGACAGCTCTGTGGAAAGATTAATCACTTCAATGCAAATGTGTAGTGTTTCCAGTGAAGTATAATTAATCCAGTAGCCCAATGAAGGACAACATGATCAGGGGTCCTTTACAGTGAGTCCTAAACTTAGATCTATGGCGGAGAAGATTTTTATCTCTGCCGGGGATATGGTTTCATATTTATAAGCTACAAATATGGGAACTGAAACTATTGTTGAGAAACTGCAATTATAGAAAAAAATGAAATAAACACAATGCACCATATGCACACTGTGGCAATTTTTCTCCGATTCATGCTCAGGATGGGTACTTCAAATGCTACTTCGTTGTAGACTTCTTCTGTCTATGTTAGCGTTCCCCTACTTCCTAACTAACAATACCGTTAGCTAAAAATGAAGCAGAAGTTTCTACAACACTGTATTATGCAAACAATCTCAAATGTTAGCTTTTATCCATTTCTTAGCTAAAAGTACACTTAGCTAAGATATGAGCTAAAAGGTGTTTGAATGATAGTGTTACCTTTTGTTTGGCTGTACTGTAGCTAAGAGTTGTTTTAGCTTAAAATATTTCCTATTGTCCCTCTGGATTTTAGCTTTACATTGTATTTTTTAGAAGCTTCCTTTTTACAACTTTTACCCAGAACACAATGCAGCACTTGAACTTCTCACCATGAGCTCAACATCAGAGGAAAAATACAGCCGTGTGAATATGGTCAATAGATAAAGAGCCGCTTTTTATAGGCTTATACGTATTTTTCTCATCCCCACAAGCTTAAAAGAAATAAATGAGATTCTGGGCTTAAGATTTCAGTTGCACAAACCACTATAGCTTCTCTACCATTGGATTCACAACTTACTTTTTAGAGGAATAACTCTAAATTAGATGATAATTATTTATCTTGTGGAACGTCAACAAACAAGACAAAGTTGTACAAAAAGCCCCGTTTTTCTGAAACAGTTTTTTCTATTGACACTGTTAAAACGAGGCCTATATCTGTAGAGATTACAGCATTTCTGAGAGAGTGACAGAAACAGATGGAGCGATAGCTGCATATGGTTCAGCATGAATACATCAGGCTGCTATCCGACGCTGAGTACTATTTATAAAAAATACATTTCTGTACTTCCTCACGTTTGGAGCTGCCTGAACCACGACTGAGCTAATTAACCCTCATTTGCAATCTGTTCCCATTACTAGTTTTTGAACCTGCAGACCATATGCTAACAAGGTCCAGCCCTTTGATTGGGCACCGTACTGGAGCTAACACCCCTCACTATGCTAACACACACAGGCCCATTACCACCTCACCAACTGCACCACCACCACCACCACCACCGCCACCGCCACCGCCAACGCCCTTCACCAGACAAGGCAGGCTAATATGTTTTATTAAAGAGGACTTTGAAGCGCTCCGCCGCTATCTGCTCTGCCCGTCCCCTTCCTGATTTAGATGGCTCCTCTCTAATTTGAAATGGTCTGAAGTTTGGGGTTTTCTGGAGGAACCATTAACTATTTAGATGTGGCCCGCTGTGAGAAGAGCTGCGCAGTGTTTGATCAGCGGCTGTTTGCCGTAGATGATTACTGCAGGATTAATATGCAGACTAGGAATACAATATAGGTTACAGTATCATATTACATAGAAGCTTGTAAATAAATATTCCGCAGTTCTTGGAGAAATCTAAGAAGTGTTTGTGTGTGATTCCTGGGAGGGTGTGTGTGTTTTTGAGCAGTGAGTGTGTGCAAGCATGTATCAGTTACACAATGCTATTATGCTTGCCTTGTCCTTGATTAAATTTATTGTGTGCTACAGGTATATGTGGGTGAGAGAATAGGCTTGTGTGTGTGTGTGTGTGTGTGTGTGTGTGTGTGTGTGTGTGTGTGTGTGCATGTGTGCTGTGCTGATCTCCACAGACACTTTTAATGACCCTTGTTATTTCAGCTCCATTACCCATCACCATAGGAAAGAAATCAGAGGCAGCGCTGAGGATTATTCTCCCATGCCCCTCTCTCTACAGGTGCATGATTTTTAGAAAATGGCCAACAAGCTCACTGTACTCCTTCTCTGCCTCAAAGAAAACTCAGCAGGCAAAAGCTAAGGAAAAAAGCAGAAAAAAGCAGAGTGAACACCTCGCTTCTGAACCCAACTGTACATGTTTTCGTTCTCGCTTCACTTTGAGTCTTCTAACCCTTCCTTTATTTCAAAGCGCTGCCCTTCCTTCTCCTCTGCTGCTTTCAACCGCCCTCTCTTCTACTTTCTATCCCCCTCTTCCCCCCTCCTCCTCCGCTCGCAGACAGAAAATGTGAGATGAGCTAATGCAATACACAGCCGCACCAAAGGGAAGCTGGGACTTCTACTGCTAGGATCTGATCGATTGGTGCCTGAGGCGAGATTCTCCTTCTCCCTTAACCCTCTCGCTTGCTGGAGCGCTCGGTGCGGTTCTCTTTTTCTCAATTACTTGCACACACACACACAGAGTTAAATTCAGCTAGAGGGAGCGTTTGCTTGCAGTGGAGGTAATTAAAAAAAAAAAAACAATTCTCTGACTTTTCTCTAAGTGCTACGAGCAATCACAGTAATGAACAACAAACCCACGAGAGTCCAGAAGCAACAATAAGAACAGACATTTAACAGCTCCAGATTCAACCATGCAGCCACCACAAGGGTCCAGACCCAGACACTGACCCCTTACATGCACAGTGTCTGTAAGCATCCAAGGATTCATCAAGACCTCCGGGGTTTTTTGCCCACTCTATCAATGATGTGTGGGGCTCTTTCCCCCACACATCATTGATAGACAGGGAATAATCACATGATTTGTGATGGTTCTGAAGAATCCAAGGTCATCCATCTGGCCATTAGAGCATATACATTGATTGTATATTAACATTTTGGCAACCAGCTTCATATCGATTCATTTGTGTCTTGGAGCTACACTTGATTTTCACCATGCAACACGAGTGGATGAAATGTAAATCTATATTCCGAGAGATAAGCCTACATTTCTCAATATTGTTATAAAACCTAATCGGCATAAGAAGCAGACTGCTAAAAATCATGAAAATACATTTTAATATTATGTGACCTATTGAAGGGGGCACTCGTTTCTCGGGTCCCATCCATCCGTGGCTCTGTATAACTTAAGATGACCGAGAATAATTATATCTTTAAGTTAACAGTTTCATTCGATTTCTCACCAGTACACTGTTTGTGAGAGCAGACATGGTGCTCCACATGGAAGAACATTAATGCACAATATCTGCAAGGACAGAGAGGAGGGAGGAAGGATGGTGACAGAACATAAAAAAAAAGATGTTACTTCGGATTTTGTTCTCATACTTTCTAAAAATGTAGAACAATGAAAATATAATTCATTAAGCATATACCAAACAAGACTGGACCTGTTCAGATGAGTCAAACTTTTATCATTTCTAGCAATGACAACAACAACAAGACAATGCATCAAATCTTCTATTTGGAGGGACTGAAATCAAAAAAAAGACCCTGGTATTAAGAAGTAGAGTGTGGGCAGCCTCTGGATGAAAAACAAACCCAACAGGGTCATCTCTATCAGAGCCAGGGTCATTCTTTAAACAGTGCACGTTTGCACTTTGCAATCAAGAGCTGGTGTCACACCCATGGGCTACATCATGTGTGCTGCATTTTTATCACTAATCACAGGAAAGCAGACCAGAAAACAGACATAAAAAAAAAACACCTAGA